AGTTTTATGAGTTATTAGTCATTTGTTTCTAATCGAAGCTATATAACATTCACTAGCTCCTGTATCTATTAATATATTTGGTCCATTTATATTTTCTCTTCTATTATAATATTCTCCTTCTATTTTCATGTTTCCAGCATTCCTATATAATTTTATTTCTTTTATTTTGTTGGTTTCTTCTAACTGGTTTTTATTAGGCATTTTAAGATTTTTTGATCTTTTGATTAATTTCTCATCCTTAAATGTTATGTTATTAGAATATTCTCCTTCATCTAATTCTGTTATTTCAGGTTTATTTTTTACTTTGCCAATTCATATTCTTTTGGAATTACATTTATTTGTTTATTTGGTTATATTATTTTACTAATATCTTTACATTCTTTATGAACTTCAATATATGGTTTATTGGAATAAATATTCCCATAATTAGAATTAGTAAATGCGTATAAAGCTCTTTATTCTATAGTCATAATTTGATCACCTGGTTGCATAATATCATCTCTATGAAGCTTGAAATGTAGTCCTAAAACTTCATTAAAGTTTCTATCTTTTAATGATACACAATATTTTGGATAACATATAAACATGATTTTCTGATATGCTAAATTCCCTTCTATTGTTCCCAAATGACTATCTTTTAAATTTATTATTCTTCCATTATGTAAGGTTATAGTTAAGGGTGAATCTATCCCTTTTTCTAAATAGTGATTTATACATTATTTGTATTCTCCCTAAATAAACATATTGGATTTTTTTCACTTTGTTAATAATCTTTGTTAATAGTTCATCAACTATATTTCTTGTTAAAAAATTTAATTTATGTGCCCATAAGTTGTTATTATATCTATGATTTTTTTTATTTTGTGATATTCGTTTATTGCTATTCTTTCTCTTTTCCAAATTCTATCAAAAACTTCTCATTTTCCTATTTTTAAGTCCAACGATAATTTTTGCAATTTTCTAAACTTGTTATTATCAAAAATGACTTTTAATCCATATCATTCTATTCCTTCATATTCTTGTATATTTATATTATTACTTTCTATTTCTTTAATTTCTTTATTCAGATCTTGATCCATCTTCTCCTATTTCACTTATATATACTTTTTAATTATAATATTCTTCAATATTTGATATTTCACTTAATTCATTTTTTTTTCTAAATATTTTTTTTGTAGTATTCTGATTTTCTTTTTATCACAATCAGGGCTTATATGACCTATCTCTCCTCAATTCAAACATTTACATTGACTTTTATTTTTCTTATAATTCTTATTTTTCCGTTGATTATATGTGTTATTTTTTGTCTATCTCTTACTTTATCATAGAATTGCTTATATGATTTATTATATATGGGTGCATAACTTTCATCTGTATCATGTAATTCTTGTTTAGAAGTTCCTGCTGGATTAGGTCTTCCTCCAGTATTCATTAAAACTTGGTATTCACTTATATCTGTTAAGCTTAATTGATCAAAATTTTCTATTAATAAATCTAACTCTTCATTCATTTTTATCTTTTTTCTTCTATTTTTAATTTTCCTAATGATTTTTCTCTAAATTATTATTATTCTTCTAATATTTTTGATAATATATTTTTTCTAAATTCATTATCCATGCTTTCTGTTTCTACTACTATATTTTCTTTTTTTATATGTTTCTTTCCTATTCGTTTCATTTCTTTTTCTATAAGTTTTTTTTATCTATTTTCTTATCTTTATTCTTATTATTTTCTTTTAATTCTCTAATTTCAATTTTTAATATATTTATATCGTTTCTTGTTTCTTTTACTTCATTTCTTAAATCTTGTATATCATTTATTAACATTTTAGTTAATGACTTTAATTCTTCCATGTATTCACTCACTGACATCTTAATTTCTTTTTATTTCTAACTCATAAGTTAATTTGCATCTTTTATCTTCTTTTTATCTATTATTTTTCTAAATCTTTTCTCAGCTGTTTTTGGATCTACTAATTCTTTTTTTATTATAGTGAAATATTTGCTCTCAAATCTTAGTCTTTCACCTTTTAATTTTGTTAATTTTCTATTATTTAGTATTCTCATTCCTTCTGGTATTAATATTATGTTTCCTATTTCTTCTTGTATTTTATTCATTTTTAAAAGTAATTTATTCAATTTTTGATGTGTATTATCAATTGTACTCATATTTTTCTTTATAATATGAATTATTTTTTTCAACTTCATATATACTAATAATTTTCTCATATGTATATATGTCATTTATTGTTTCTATTATTAACTTTTCTAATATTTGTTCTTTTATTTCTTTAGGAAGTTCTTTAATTATTGTCAAAGTCATTATTTTTAATTTACTATGAATAGGTTTTAAAAATATATAACTACATTTTTCTTCTTCTAAACACCAATAATTATTTATTTTCTTTATTTTAATTTCCATGATCTCTATGGCTCCGATACCAATAAATAGAGGTGCTACTTAGAGAGAACATAAATCAAATAAAAATATTAATCTAATAAATTAAATAAAATTATCAAGTTTCAACCAATGTCTAAATTTTTAAGGACAAAAATAGAAAATTTTTATATTATGGTACCTTGTTATGTAATATTCAAATGGAGGGCATTTTTTGTATGAAATTTGCCTAAGGGCCATTTTGGAAAACTAACCCTTTTGAAAATGTCATTTCCATGTATTTCCCAAAAGTATTGCGGTCGAACTTTGGACATAGCTCCCGTTTGGGCTCCATTAATTTTCATTTCATTTTTTCCTCTTCTATTTTCAATCACATAATTTTCTATAAAATAATATTATACGTAAATCGATTTTTTTTTCAATCATTAATTTTTCAAAAAATCACCATTCCACTCATTTTCATCACCACAAAATAGGGGCAAACGGGGGCATATATTCCATTTAGATGGATGGTGTTACATAGAATTCTCTTCTTGTACGTGTCCAGATTCATACACTTGGAGAAACTTATACTCTTCTAGTTGTCTGCAAATTTGAATTTCATCTACTTTTTCTTGAAAAGTATTGCAATCATTTGTAAGACCTGTACAATACTATCACGTAAACTTGTGATATTAAGCCCATGTTTGGCCCTCATTTTGTAGAAAAATTAATGGGCGAAATAGTATTTTTGTGAAAAATTGGTGGTTGAAAAAGAAGGAAAAATTTTCGATTTACATGTAATATGATTTTATGGAAAATTGTATAATTAAAAATATGAGAGAAAAAAATGAAATATAATGAAATGAAAATTAATAGAAACCAAACAGGGACTAAATAACATTGCTCTTTCTCGATTTGCCCAAATTCATTCAGTTGGTAAAACTTCTCGTTTTCCAATTTTATACTTTGCTCTCTCTCTATAATTAATTGAAAAGTTTTGCAGCCAATTTTAGAATATAGACCTCACTGACATTTATATGGTTGATGCTACATAGCATTCATCACTCTTTCCCTATGTGGCCAAATCATACGCTTGGAAAAAATTGTAATTCACCACCCATTTGAACGTCCTTCTTCTATTCAATTTTTCTTTAAATGTATTACACAAGTGGGGCACACTATCACGTCCTTCTCCAATTTTCTTTTTTGGTAACTAAATTTTAATTTTTCCAAATCTTACAGCTTCTTGTCTAGTTGTTGATTTAACCCTTGTTTGAGCCCCATTTTTGTCAAGAAAATGCATTTTTGAATAGTGATATGATGTAAAATGTGTGGTTAAAAAATAAGAAAAAATTCTAGATTTTCGTGTAATATTATTTTATTGAATAACGTGTGGTTGAAATAATATCAAAATACTGTTTAAGAATGTATTTTCTCAAAAAAAAAAAAAAAAAAAAAAAAAAAAAAAAAAGTTCAAACAAGGGCTTAATGTTTCCAAATTTTTTTCCCAAATCTCTTGCACGAGTTGGCATCAAGATACGGTCTGCTGTTAGCACACAGACTTAATGAAATATAGCATATCATGGAGGCAGTCCGGAGCTCCGTCACGGACCTGAATCGGTTCGGTAAAGTGTTTTAAGCTTGCTACTTTTAGCCCCTTTGATTCTGTTCTTGATGCTCTCAATCAATTCAATGCTGTCTCCGAAGGTAAAACAATGCTCAAGAAATAATTATTTTAAAACTGACTTTTATAATTATAAGTAAACTTGTTAAGCTTAGGCAACAATGCTTTTGATTACAGAGAGAATCATTATTTCTTCAAGTGTTTGCTTTTTGTCATGAAATTTTGTAACTTTGTTTAATTATTAGAATAATAATGAGCTAAATTAAGGATGGGTTTTGGATCAGATACGTTCGAATTCTGAACAGACAATAATGCCTAGCCTTCCAGGTTAAAGATGTGGTTTTGATTCCCTCTACCACCATATATAATTTTATTTATTTATTTATTTATTTTTAAATACGAGCATATTGGAAGTTAAGGTTGATTTGAAAGGGAAAATGTTAAAAGGTTCAGTTGAATTTGACCAAAAATATTTTATTATATGCTATTTTTATCCACCTAGAGCAGCATTGTAAGCACATGCTTCAAATTGTTGCGTACTTCCTCTGTTTTAAATGAGTTGTTTGGCTCTTGAGCACATGCAAGTTTTGTTGTGTGATTACTTCGTTCTCCATTTTCATAATTTTTGTCTAGAGTTTGCTTAATGAGATACATTAGCAATTCTATTGTTTTGTACAAAATTGTGTCTTTTACAGGAAATTACGTGTTATATGGTCTGGAGCTTGGAAAAATTAAGATAATACGATATGCTGATGGAGAGATTTATGTTCAACTACAAGACAATGTTAGAGGGTGTGATGTATATCTTGTGCAGCCACTACAATCTACTTGCCTTGACCCTGCTGTTTTTCCCTGCTAAATGAGACATCATGATGCAGCTTATAGGTATCTATTTGAAAGCCCTGATTTTGTTGCCTCGCATTGAGTCTTTTTATCAAAATTGAAGAATTCTTACTGGATATACAATGAAACTATGCAAATATTGGTAAACGTCCACATGCTTCAGGTCTTCACTTTTACTTTTTCTTCTAGAGTGTTTTCACTTTAAAATTTCTAAAGAAAAAAAATCTTAAACTAAAAGCAATTAGATGCCAAACGATAAAAATAATGTCAAGTTTTATTAGGTGTATGACTATTATGTAATTTCACTTTTATTTCATTGACAATTAGCCTCCACCTGAATGAATTTGGTTGATGAGTGTTGTTAGTATTCTTTGTTTTGGTACTTCAATTTCCTATTTGCATTTCTTTATGAACATTCGCTTCCACTATAGACACAAGGGTGTGAGTCAATAGCAGCCAAACTTGTAGCTAATCTGATTACTGAAGCTGGTGCAGACCGGGTTCTTGCCTGTGACCTTCATTCTGGTCAGTCCATGGGATATTTTGACATTCCAATGGATCATGTACATGGTCAGGTAAAAGGCCTTGAGATGTTTGTTCCCATGACATACACAGAATCTAACACTGGCATAATTTCAGTGAGTTTTGGTGCAATATTAACCCAGGAAAATTTGGAAGCTGATGAATTGAAGATTGGCGAATGGGGCTGACTTAATTGTCTATATGTTGAATTTCTATTTGCAATCTTACTTTATTGTTCACTTATTCTGAAGCAAGTAGCCTGTCATACTTGATTACCTTGCCAACAAGGCCATATGTTCTGATGTTCTGGTTGTGGTCTCACTGGATGTTGGCGGGGTTGCTAGAACAAGAGATTTTGCCAAAAAGTTGTCTGAACTGAATATTTGGTATGCTACATTTTGTGCCTATAACACCAATGGGTTAATATACCATTCGGATTCTGTAGGTGATGAATTTGATTGGTGACGTGGCAGTTATGGTGGATGACATGATTGATACTGCTTGGTAATTTTTTTTTATTTTTCTTTATGATCCACTTATTCTTTCACAATCTTGAATAATAGTTAATCAAATAGCTGCAGCCTGGGCATACACATATAGATGCTACACTGCAAATTCTATATTGAAATCAAGATCTAAAACTGAAAAGAATAAGCTTTTTGTAATCATACATACAGCTGTATGTAAATAAATTCGGTTTTAACTATATTTCCAATTTAATCTTTTTTCTCTACCAGGGGAAAATAAGAATACATCTACATACAGCGCTATCAATTTTGGCGACACTAGTTCACCACTGTCTCCCTAATCAGTAAAACATCAACTCTTAAGAGCTGTAAATTCTTTTCAGGTTTCTTCATCGGAGGATTTATAAATCAATTGCTCAATTTCCAATTTTTGTCACCATTTGTGGGGTGGTTATATACAGCCCCCACTAGCACTTTTGTCGTAATCAGTCTATCGTATTTGGGAATTGTACTTATCGGCAGATGGTTACAGGAACCATTGCACAAGCAGCAGCTTTGTCGCATCAAGGAGGAGCTAAAATATCTTCTCATTGGAATATTTGCTTGACTGAAAGTATGGCGCTTTTTTAGTAGCGATGAAAAATTTACTTCTCAGTTACAATCTACCTTCCCAGATTGGAGCTCTGAAACATATCAGAAAATAGAGTCACCTGATCCCCATCTCTAATGAACATTAAGCGTTGGATCACTGAGCTGCTTAATCATTTCATTGGCCTGGTTCAGGGCAAGATCATATATTTTATACTTCGGCCAGTGGAGTTGTGGCTTTTATTCTTTTGGAGCATCATTTCCATCTCAATAATCTATACTTAACAAATTGTGACAATCTCCAATTTGCTCATACTGAATCAGGTATAATACAAGTTGTGCCAATCTCCACATGTTAAACTTTTTGCAGTCCTCCTGCAACTGAGCGGTTATCAAATGTCCTGTTCCAAGAGGTTATCATAACAAACACCATTCCAGTAGAAGACAAGAACTATTTCCCTCAGCTTACAATCTAATCTGTGGCAAACCTCCTGGGCGAGACCATATGGCGGGTGGATGATGATTGTGCTGTGAGCAGCTTTCATTTAAATCTACCTGGCACTTCTATATGAACCTCAGCTATAGAAATATGAGAATTTAAAACAAAATAAATGAATTAAAGAAGAGAATAGACAATAATCGTATTTGCATTTTTCTTTGTTTTATTCTTGCCATTTTTTGACGAGAAGATGCTCGTGATATTAATTTTAAGGGACGTCCTCTGTGGAAGTCTCGAATAACAGATCTATTTCCCCCAACAAATTGGATAAATAAAATGCATGTGAAGAAGAGACGAAACGAAATTATAATTAAGGTTTTCTGCTGCCATGTTAATCCTTACATGCCATCGCAGCATAAGCTAACTATTGAAATTGATGTTTAGAGTGCTCTATCCATTTAATCTGCAACTTCATTTACTGCTATGATGAGAATTTTGTTTGCCCAACTGTGGTGGGTAGAAAATCTATTTGCTTCTCCTCCCTCTATAACACTTCCACCAACTACCATTTTGTTTTCGAACCATATTCCACAAAAATATTAATTTCTCTTCCTCGAAGGATCCTTAATTAAGGAAAAGACTGACAATACCAGAAAATTGAATGGAGTGCCACAATCTCTGTGGGTTTGAAGTGAACAACATTCTTTAAAATTTAAACAATGGTACTCATAATTGTGGACTTTGATTTCTCTGCAGTGTTCTATTTTCACATTGCTTAAGTATAACTTGATTGGTCAACTTCCTTGGAGAGAAAATTTTAGGATATTTATGAAAAATTGTTCTCAACTTCTGGCTTTCATTATATGCAGCAAAAGAGCTAGTATTGCCTTCATAAGGTCTATCATTCTGAGCTTTGTGACGCCCAACATTATTTAATTGTCTGAAATCACTTGGAGACAACCTTAAAACTTGCAAGATCTATGAACTTTTTATGTCATATATGGTATGGATGGAGGATTAGATAGTATTTGACATTATTAAGAGAAAAGAAGTAAAATCTTGTTTATTTTAGTGTCTATTCCTCCCCATTATCACATTCATTTTGGTGACGTGTTCGGAGATTATGCATCTCTTTTATTGTATTGTAACAATATCTTGTTTATTTATGTTACTAAGTCTGGAGAAATTACCGTATCAAAGATGATCAATACTCTCCTTGGTACTTGTGTGCGACTTTTTACAATTTTAAAGATGATAGTTTCAGTGAAAGGATCAAATAGGCGGTTACAATGACATTTGCGAAGACAAAGGACCTGTTGATGTTTTGCATAAATGTTAGAACAATATTATAAACTGACGACACATTTCTATTAGGAAGACGGGAAAACTCATGTGAATGTAGGAAGATCATTGTATTCCGACCTGATTTTGATTTTGACAATACTTTCACAGACGCTTCTTTTTAGTTAAAAATTAAAAAAAAAAAAAGTAAAAATATTTAAATAGGCTTGGAATTAATTAAATTAAATTAAATTTTATTTTATTTCTTTTGCCTTGGCAAAACATGTTGTTTCATATGAAAAGACAATTTCAGTTTAATGAGTGCTTGAACTTTTTAGTTTCTCAAAGCATATGTACATTGGAACTCACCCCTCGGGGCATAGTCCAGTGGTGTAAAGGACAGGAGTGAGGTTATCTCACGGCTTGCTGGCAGCAGCAGTGTGGGGATTCGATTCCTGAGACATAGAATTTGACTCCTTGTAGGCGCAGTGTACAGACAGTTTTTGTTCTTTGCCTGTTGGGATACATTCCGCGATTTACCTCCTTCACAAAGTTTTAGGGGCTGGGCAGTGAAGGCTCTCAAAGTTGAGGTTCAGCCTCCATATGTACATTGGAACTCAAATCTCAAATCTAGGTTAATAGAAATTTACACTTTTTTGGCAGGTTTGCTGGGATGGATTGGATAGTACCAAACACTATAAATGAAGGAAAATATGCTAAAATCTTCTTCACTATATAGTATAATCCTGTTCCTACCCGTGTATGGAAAGTGTACAAAGCGTTTATGTTGTAACAAGTTGGGACTGGTTAATCATCCTTTTTTATTTGGGATTTATTTTTAATGTACATGTTGGAAGTTGTCTTAATTATTTATGTTTCGGTTGGTACTTGGCCAAAGACCATACTACAGGTTAAGTATGGACCGCATTCTGTTCAAATGAATAAAAGTAATTGTCCTATGTAATCTGAAGGTTTGTTTTCATTAATAAGAAAACCCTGTAATATAATTGGAATTGTTGTTGCTGATGTGACAATGACATAGCTGTGGTTTCTTTAAAAGGTTGAACCCCAACCTTAAGGGCCCTCACCGACCCTGCCCTGAGCCATCGTGGAGGAGGTAAATCGCAGGATGTGTCTCCCAGGAGCCAGGGTGGAGAGCACATGGATAGGCCAAGACTGTTAACCCATATAGTAACTCCCGCTTGCAACAAAGCCAATTCCATCTTGCGGGGAATCGAACTTTGCACACTGCCGCGCTGAGCCCTATCCGCCCTCCCCTTTGCCACTGGGAGATATGCCCTGGGGGCCATAGCTGTGGTTTCTTTGGTTCGTTTTTGAGTTGTTGCTATTTTGCAAGCACAGTTAGCCTAAGCCGTGCTTAGTTTTAGTGAAAATAATACCTCAGAAATTCGCACCTTACTTGGACGGAATATGGTACACAAGTTGCTTCTACTTCTGCAAGTACAACTAAGTAAGAAAATTAAATATAGGGTAATTGGCACAAAACGTCCCCACCTTTTATGTCTATTGTGGAAAACGTCCATATTTTTCATTTTTTGATATTTTTGTCCTTACCTTTCACCTTTTTTGGCGCTGAACGTATTTTTCACCAATTTTGGACAATTTTACCCTCCATTCAAATAAAAAAAAAAAAAGAAAGGAAATGAAACAACAAATAACTAATTGCAACCACAGATCCCATTTTTAAAAAATTACAAATCAGTTACAAATATATACAAAATTTTCAATGATAAGAAGTTCCTCCTCTGGAGTGAATGCACCTTTATTTAGATCTGGTTGCCCACCTCAAGTGACAACATTTTTCACACCGGGCCAGCCCCGAGTGCTTCTGGACTGCATTCCAGTTCCTTTCTCCATGCTTGGTAATGTACTCAATTAAAATGGCTTCTTTTGCAAATGTCTAGGGACCTTTTTTAAGTGGACAATTCCCACCCACATTTCCTCCACTAGTATCTTCCTCGATGTATGTTAAATCTACGCTATCTTTGGATATCATCCTTTCCTCACTTTCACTTGACATGCCCTTCACCTATTTCGTCAACAAATCAAGAAAAATGATTTAACAGTTCGGTTTCCAAATTGTCAAATCAGAGATGCCAAGATAAACATCTAGAACAGTATTAGCCCATCTGGTAATTTTTGGTTCTTAAATTATATAAAAACGTTTTTCAAAAGTTCATTCGTGCGAAGGCATTAACAAAAGTAGAAGAAATATTATCATTGTAATTATTAATATTATTATCTAATTTAATTTTGATACCTCAATGCGGAGAAGACGGTCTTAGAAGCTGCAGTGCACTTCTTATGAATCAATTGGAGCCCAGATTCTAAAATAAAAATTCCTTAAACTCGAAATTTAATGTTTCAAATGCAAATCCCAACCTCAAATTATCACTGTAATAAAAGAAAAAAGCACAAATCCAACTGAAAATCTTAAAAGAATACCCAAAAGTAGAACGATGCGGATCAAAAATTCAAGAGGAAAGATCAATGTACTATTGTTCTAAGCTATGATTTA